CCGGTTGTTTCGGTTCATGGGCATGTGAAGTCTCGGGCTGGGGTTGGAACTTTGAGCAATACTTTGCCTTGGACTCTGATTTAATTTTGGATGATATTTGGAACCCTGACATTAATCTACTTTTCTTTTGAGGCTAGGATGTTGTCCTTTCAAGTCTATTGTTACTGTTGTTATTTGTCTTTTTGAAGGATGCTTCAGGAAAGGTCCTGGATCACTGGAGTATCATGACCAGCGAAGAAGAGCTGGCTACCTTGCAGCAATTTCTGCGTTTTGGGGAAACCAAGTCCATTGTGGAGCTGATGGCCATTCAGGAGAAAGAAGGGCAATCCATTTCTGTCCCCACGACCACAGCCAGTATGGATATTAGGGCCTTCATCGAAAGCTGCAATCAGAGAAACTCCAACCTTTCTGCTTCTTTGGACAAAATGCACCCCATCCACGTCCATCACTTCGAAAACGTGGTCAACAACATGGCGTTTATGCTGCCCTTTCAGTTTTACAGCCCCGTTCCACCACCTCTGATCGGTTCGCTCCCGGAGAGGCTCTTGGTGGAGTCCTCTCAAAATCACAGTCCTGACTTAAACCAAGACGACTACATGCCGTTTGCTGAAAACAGTTTTTTAACTTCCAACCCATCGTTTCAACCAGAAAAGGAGAAGCGTCCCATCAGCCCGGACCTCACTTTGAAACTGAAAGAGGACGTGTCACCGAGCGGTTTGAAAACTCAGACCTCCAAACCAGAAGCAAGCCAGGTGTCTCCAGAAACTAAGATGAAGACAGTGGACAAAAACGGCGCCGGAATAAGGAAAGGGCGCGTTTTCTGTACAGCCTGTGAGAAGACCTTCTACGACAAGGGCACTCTGAAGATCCACTACAACGCGGTCCATCTGAAAATCAAGCACAAATGCACCATCCAAGGCTGCAACATGGTCTTCAGCTCACTGAGGAGCCGAAACCGTCACAGTGCCAACCCCAACCCGAGACTTCACATGCCCATGAACCGAAACAACCGGGATAAAGATCTCCGCAATGGCTTGTCCCTCCGAGGTCTGGAGGAGAACAAAAGGACCGATTTTAGCCTTTTGCCTCCCGATCACAGATCAGCTCCGATCTATGGGAATTCTGGGACCGAAGCCAAAACCCAGCCGGGTTTTCACCACAGCGGGCACAACGGTGTCCTCTTCCCCAATTTGAAGACGGTGCAACCTGTGCTCCCCTTCTACCGCAGCCCGGTCACCCCGGCCGAAATAGCAAACACCCCAGGTACGCTCCCTTCTCTGCCTCTGGTTTCCTCGTCTGTACCTGAACCGCAGGGCTCCAGTGAGTTGCCCTTCGACCCCTTGCCTAAGAAAAAATCCCGTAAGTCTAGCATGCCCATCAAGATAGAGGCAGAAGCTGTTGACACCACTAGCCCAGCTAATGAAGTGGCCAGTTCAGAAGACGATGGGACTCCCAAGGCGGTAAGTGAAGGGTCGGTGGAGATGGGGGTGTCTAGGATAGAAAAAAATGCCAATCCTCACACGGAAGAGCAACCTCACTCCGAGGCGTCCGTTTCCAAGGACGGAGGGCTCAAAACTTTGCAGGCTGAAAGGGACAAACTGCAGACCAAGCCAGACCAAGACAAATCGCGAAGAATAGCCTCTTGCGAACACGCACGCGAAGCCTTCAACCAGCACCACGACGTCACCAAAGCAGCCTCTGAGCCCTACAGCTTCCTTAGAGAACCGCTGAATTACCGGATCCCCATCAACAGCTGGCCCGAACTGCATTACCACTTGTTGAGTGGGAGCAGTTTCAACACGCTCTCCGACCGGAGTGCGGCGGTCCCTGAGTTTGAAGGGTGTAAAGAGACGGATCACGGCCACGCCCAGGCCCTAGGCCTCCCGCAGGAAGACGCCCGCTTTCGTTGCGACATCTGCCTGAAGACTTTCAAAAGCCCTTACAGTGTCAAAATGCATTTTAAAAACGTGCATCTAAAAGAAATGCACACTTGCGTCGTGGAGGGTTGCAATGCCGCGTTCCCCTCGCGTAGAAGCCGAGACAGGTAAGGATGGGTGGGGGCAAAATCACTGTGTGCCCCCCTTGTGTTTAAAATAGAGGGCTTCTTCTATGTTTTTGGGGAGGGGGTGCAGCAATCTATTTCATGCCTGCTTTTTCTGGACCATTACGCTCTTTTGTCAGAATAGAATTAAAATGGAAATCCATTGTCAAAAGGTTCCCTTAGGATAACAAAGTTGAAAGGGACCTTGGAGGTCTTCTAGTCCAACCCCCTGCTTAGGCAGGAAACCATACACTATTTCAGACAAATGGATATCCAAAATCTTATTAAAAACTTCCAGTGTTGGAGCATTCACAACCTCTGGAGGCAAGTTTTTCCATTGATTAATTGTTCTAACTGTCAGGAAATTCCTCCTTAGTTCTCCTTAGCTTAGCTTCTCTCCTTGATTAGTTTCCACCCATTGCTTCACAACCTCTGGAGGCAAGCTTGTCCTTCAGGTGTGGGTCTGAAAGCCTCAGACTAATCCTGAGAGAACAACAATAAAGGGCAATGGTAGAATAAAAGAGTTGGAAGGGAACTTAAAGGTCTTCTAGTCCAACCCCCTGCTTTAGGCAGGAAACCCTACACCACTTCAGACAAATGGTTATCCAACATCTTTCTTTTTCCTTAAACAGGAAGCTTCCCTGCTCCTCTTTTTTTCTTTTTACTCTAGATATTTCTTTTTCTTTTCTTCCTCCAGACACAGCTCCAATTTAAACCTTCACCATAAACTTTTAATGAAAGATCCTTTGGACCTCAACAAGAACCATTTCAACGCCATCGATCTCTTGAAGGACATGGCCAAAGACGTTTGCCCGGAGGCCTGCTTGAAAGGGCATCTGGAGCAGCACACCTCGGTCATTTTCAAAAGCACAAACAGGACCGGCAGCTTGGTTTTCCCCATGAGCAAGATCGCACAGGCCTGTCCCGAGAGCTGCGGGCACGACCCCAACGAGGGAGCCATTCTGGATTTAAGCACCACGTCTAGCGTTAAATCGGAGAGCGGCACTCACTCCTCCTGGGATTCGGACGGAGGGAATGAAGAAAGCCCTTTGGAGGACAGCAACGAAAGCTGTGAAAGTATCTGCCTGACGCCCAACGAAGAGCTCTACCAAGACTGTTGCCCGGTGGAGACCCCTAACCCGAATTTTCCAACCACCCCTTCCTGCTTGCCCATCACCTGTCACCTCTGTCAAAAAAGCTACAGCAACAAAGGGACGTTCCGAGCCCATTACAAAACCGTGCACCTCCGTCAGTTGCACAAGTGCAAAATCCCCGGCTGCAACACCATGTTCTCTTCCGTTCGTAGCAGGAATCGACACAGCCAAAATCCCAATTTACACAAGAGCTTGAGCAGGTCACCCCACAGCCCCCTGCAATAGCTGAGTATTTTCAAGAGCATTTCAGTTGCGGTTGTGTTCTATTTATCATTTCAGCGTCTTCCTTTTCCGTTGTTAAGCATTAAGGAAAAGAGGCGCACGGTTTCACTGGCTTTTCCATAGACCCTGTCCCAGAATATACCGTGACCCGTCAAAACCGCGCTCGACTAAGCCGCGCCCGATTAAACCGCGTCGCTGACGTCATCAACAGGGCGACAACAGC